AATTGAATTATTTTTATAAACATATACAAATATATAATCAACGTTAAAATGTATAACATTAATAATCTAAAACAATATCTATGTATATAAAACTGGAAATACACATCTGCGTGGTTACGCGGTATAAGATCTAGTTATAGAATTAAAAATAGAATAAGACTGGAACATTTTTATTCCATAGTCACTTTTATTCCATAAACCTCTCTAAATCAAGAGAATTATGCTAATATAGAACAAAAAAATAGGTCTCATGTCTCTTTAGTATAAAATATTTTTTGGCCATTTTTTCTCCCTTTTACCCTTTCCATTTATAAAATTAATAAAATAAATAGTTCTATGACTCGAAAAAATATTTAAAAATACACAGAAGTGATTAAATTTCTATATACACAAAATGATATTTTTTTTTTCAAAATTTTGGTAAATTAAAAATTTTAATTACGTTCTACGAAGAGTAAAATTCACATTCTAAATTGCATAGTAGAACACATATTCCACGTAAACCAATTATCTCTACAGTTTTTAGAACCCATATTTTACGTTTTTAAAGAATTTTACAAAAAATCTGAATGTAGGTTCTACGTTTATATCCACTTCTACGAATGTCAGAATACGATATCTACTTAAAACGCAGATGTCTACATATAGTAGAATGTGCTTCTCAAAACATGTTTGTGTTTCTTCGCTGTTTAGAAGATACATTCTACGGATAAAACTAAACAAAATTCCGAAAATTTGGGAAAAAATCTAGGAAAATATTCAAAAAGATTTATCCATAACTCCACCTTCCTAACTATTATGATAATTTTAAAATCGTATACTACTAATGCTCTGTCAATCACTTTATTAAAAACTTTAATGAAAGCATACATCTTCTGTAGCACACTGCTTCTGCAGCATACTGCTACTGATTTATCATCTCCTGTACCAATCGAGGCCTAAATGGGAATTAGGGTTACGGGGAGAGTTCCCTTTTTGTTTTTATTAAAAAAAATTTTAATTCTAAAACTAACATTTTATAAATTCAGTTTTAATTAAAATTTCCATTTAATTAGATTAATCTAGGGTTAGTTTTGGGATTATAGAAAAAAATATACTATAGGGACAAGATTAATGTTGGTTTATACTAAGAGAACATGAAACCTATTTTTTTTTTCTATATTAGCATAATTCCCCTAAATCAATGGCTTGCTATCTTTCAAGACAATTTTTGCGTAACACTAACAGGATGCTAGGTTACTATACGAAACTAAAGGGGCTGATTTGAGAAAATAGTAAAATATGAGGGGGATAAATAGTAAATAAGTAAAGAGTATTTTGGAAGATAGTGAATTAAATACAAGTTTGGATTCGAAAAGAAGCGTTTTCTCTGGCATCGCAGTTGTCTCAATCTCACTTTAACTGCCCTACCAAGAAGAAAATATATACTTGAATGCGCTCTTGACCATATTCTCGTGAAGATAAAACTTCTGCCGACGCGTCCTTCTTGGTGTGGCGGGTAAGGTTCCCCCGATTGAGTTTTTTTTTTGTCGTTTTCTAGGATCCATCTCCTGAGTCTTATTCGGAAACTTTTTGTTTTTTTTTTTAGGGTAAGCAGGAAGGAAGATGGGGTTGATATCAGGGATTCTGTTCGGGATTGTCTTCGGCGTAGCTCTAATGGCTGCCTGGGCTCGTATGATGACTCACCGCACTTCCAAGCGTGTCGCCAAGGTGCTTCGATTTCAATTGGATTTTGATGATTAACAGATTTCAAAATCTAGGATAGTAAATCCTCCCGTGATTATAGATAGGTTGTAACGGTCATTGGATTAGCTGAAAATGCGTAACTTAATCAGTGTTTTACTAATCTGTTGATTCTATTTAACGAGCTGGTGGATTCATGCTTTGCTTGTTCAGTGGAGACAGATCATTCATACTAGAGTAGATGTGTGTTCTTGGGGCTCTGATACTGTGGAATTGATTAGTTATAGCTTTTTTTTTTTTTTTTTTTTTTTTTGACAGGCAGTTGATATGAAACTTCTTGGCTCTCTAAGCAGAGAAGATTTGATCAAAATCTGTGGTGATAACTTTCCACAGTGGATATCCTTTCCAGCCTTTGAACAGGTACGCCTCGTCTTTTTTGTGTGTTCAACGTGATTTAGTTTTTTTTTTTCTAACTTAAATGTAGAGTTATTTGCCGTATTGTCCCTTGAACTTATTCAACTATGGTTGGCTTTGTGTTGTGTACACATTATCTTTCTCTGGTTTTGGAACACGTGTTGTTAGAAGATGAAGCGAACATTTTCAGACTGAGAACTTCTTATACGTTTATTTTTTTCAGGTCAAATGGCTGAATAAACTACTAGGCAAGATGTGGCCATTTATTGCTGAGGTGAGATTTTAATTTTTTTTTTTCTTATGAGACCTTACTAAGTGCATTCCTTTCCAGTGTAGATGGTTGGTAGTTAGTTGCCTATGAGAGTACCCTGAATATTGGTAATTGGAGATATAAAAGTCGGAAGTTTAGTTGTTCTAATCGAAAAATTTCTTTCTGAAAAAAAATCTGTTGAGATTAGTTTATCCTGAATGGAGTTGTAAACATCTAAGATAGGTCCAATTTGTTGGAATGCAAGAAAACACTATGCAACTTGGCTGTCAAAAATTCTTAAGTATTTGTTGTTCTGTTGAATAATTTACAGGCAGCAACTATGGTAATAAGAGATTCTGTTGAACCGCTGCTTGAAGATTACAGACCACCGGGAATTACTTCCCTGAAGTTCAGCAAATTGACTCTGGGTAACGTAGCACCAAAGATTGAAGGTAAAGAAAGTCTGGTGGGCTACATCATTGTTTGTGATTGTTAATATTTCTCTCCACTTTTCTCAAGCTTGCACTGTCCTGCTTTCTATTTTGGATGAGTTGCCTGCCATTTGTTAATGAATCTTTGTGATTTGAAGAACGTCACGCATTTGTCTTATATATTAATTTTCCGTAAGCCTTAGCACATACATGGTTAATAATTGCTGCAGGTATTCGTGTTCAAAGTTTCAAGGAAGGTCAAGTCACAATGGACGTTGATCTTCGATGGGGTGGTGATCCTAATATCGTTTTAGGTGTTACAGCGCTTGTTGCTTCCATACCCATTCAGGTTACTAGAGATATATTTTAGTACTTCTTTGGGGTTTTCTATAGTATAAGTGCACCTTAAGTATTTTCTCTGTATAGCTTATCTCTACCAACACAACACTTCTTTTCTGGCTGAAACAGTTGAAGGATCTTCAAGTTTTCACAGTTGCACGTGTTATCTTTCAACTTGCGGATGAGATTCCTTGTATATCTGCTGTTGTTGTAGCTCTACTTGCTGAGGTACATTTTTCCCATTTAAAGATCCAGAATCAGATGCATTTTTCTTTATTACCTCCTATCTGTCAGTGACCAACTTTTTAAATGATCTCAACCAGCCAAAACCAAGAATCGATTACACTCTGAAGGCTGTAGGTGGAAGCTTGACGGCAATTCCTGGACTATCTGATATGATCGATGTAAGTTCTTCTCTGGGCAGGTCAAGCAATTTCCAGATATTTTAGTTGTTTTCTCGTTTGCTCTTATGCACAGCTTTATGCTTTTAATTTTGTTAGGACACCGTTGATACTATTGTCAAAGACATGCTTCAGTGGCCTCATAGAATAGTTGTTCCCATTGGTGGTATTCCTGTTGATCTCAGGTACTTTCGTGTGTCTCATACTGGATTTTTCTTCACTCATATATTCTGCCTAGGATTTACTTGGTCATGACTCATGATACGTATTGAGAAATCATTTTATATTTTGACAATGCTCTCTATTTTTTTTCTCATTCACAGCGATTTAGAACTTAAGCCACAGGGAAAGCTTATAGTAACAGTAATGAAAGCAACTAACCTGAAGAATAAGGAACTGATTGGAAAATCAGACCCTTATGCAACAATCCACATTCGTCCTGTGTTCAAGTATAAAACAAAGGCAATCGAGAACAACCTGAATCCTGTTTGGGACCAAACATTTGAACTGATTGCAGAGGACAAAGAAACACAGTCGCTCACTATAGAGGTTTGCAATCTACAACAGTTATACTTTCGTACTTGTTTAACTTTGTCATGGCAAACAATAACAGCCCTCTTCGTATTACTTCTGACAGGTATTTGATAAAGACGTAGGCCAAGACGAACGTCTAGGACTTGTGAAACTACCTTTAAGCAGTTTAGAAGTCGGGGTTACAAAGGAAATGGAGCTAAATCTCTTGTCATCACTTGATACTCTGAAAGTGAAAGATAAAAAAGATAGAGGAAGTATAACCCTAAAGGTACATTACCATGAGTTCAACAAAGAAGAGCAAATGGCTGCGTTAGAAGAAGAGAAGAGAATAATGGAAGAAAGGAAGAGATTGAAAGAAGCAGGAGTGATAGGTAGCACAATGGATGCAGTTGGGATGGTGGGAAGTGGGCTCGGTGCTGGTGTAGGAATGGTTGGGACAGGGATTGGTGCAGGAGTCGGTTTGGTTGGAACCGGTGTGACCTCGGGTGTTGGGATGGTTGGTAGCGGTTTTGGAGCTATGGGTAGTGGAATAAGCAAAGCAGGGAGGTTCATGGGTAGAACAATTACAGGTCAGACAAGTAAGCGTAGTGGCTCCTCTACACCTGTGAATAGCGAGACCGATGGTTCGAAACAACAGTGAGTAAACTTTGGGTTTAAGCAAAAAGATTTGTGATCATGAGAACATTGTTTTATTCTCTAGCTGTCATACGATGCGACTTTGTATTTATACTCTTTTCGTGTTTTGCTTATTATAATGTGAATTCACCTTTCAATTCTCATAAGCAAGAAAAAGCTTTGAAGACCACATTCTTGTGAAAAATGAAGCAAAAATATTAACTTCAAAAGATTACAACACAAAAATGCAGCTCATTGTATGTTAATGACTTATTGCACGGCAATTGTTATTGCCCAAGAATACAACAGAGGCAACACTAAACAAAAAAGAATTAGCTGTTGTGGTGATGGTCGTTCTTTGAACAGAGAATGCTTCCCCTAGTACTATGTAGAAACAGACTTTTACTCAAATAAGTAAACAAATTTTTGTAATCAAGAATGTGAAGAAATACCATATAGAAATCTTATTATAAGAGTTATCATTATTGGTGTATAGAATCATAGGAGTATCAAATTCTTTGAAAGGAGAAACAGAGAGACGAAATATGAATATGAAACAATTATTCTGCAGGCCTAGAGAACCATCTTCTTCATGCTTCAAGGTGTCTTGATCTTGGGACGTGCTGGAAGCAGCTGTGTAATTACATAACAAAATATGTGAGACCTTAACTGTATGAAAGATGTAAATTTGGAAGTGTGCTTGTGGAAAGGAATAGAGAGAGAGAGAATTAACCTGATAACAAGAGATAAGAGAGGTGGTAAAACCGAGAGCGCCAGTGACACGAGGAGTAACAGTCTTTGGAGCTAACTGAAGCAGACCAATAGCTACAACAATGTCAATGCTTGATTTAACCAAAGCTAGTGTTCTGTCATTTGATTTCTGAAGTTTAGCACGATACAACTCATCCTGCATATTTTTACAATAAGAAATGAGTTTTATATACAAAGACAAGAAACATGAGAGAGTTTACAGAGAAAAGTGTTCTTACATTATTCTTTTCACCACCTTTGAGTTCCTTCTCCATCTTCTTCATAGATGAAGAGAGCCTTCCTATCTCACTAATCTAATACACACATGAAGATCAAGATCTGTATATTTATATGTTAATACAAAGACAAATCAAAATGTAGACAAACCTCGACTGCTGTTGTACAGACAGATGATCCTAACCAGCAGAAGAGTGATATACGACCAAGCAACTCAGTTCGTTCTTTGTTCTGCCATGTGATTGAGCAAAAGAGTCTTTAGTCACTTAATGTGAACATCAAAGTTCCTATAAATAATATGGATTGTTGCTGAAAACTTATCTCACCTTATATATGCCGGATCTACCAAGCCAAACGATTTGATCAAGAAACAAGAAGGTAGACAAGAGCGCATTCTTTGACTAAAACAATCAACCAAACAAAACGTTAAAGATTTGAGTAAAGACATAAATATGATGAACAACAACTTGTAAGAATCCATCATTTCTTTTATCACCTTCCCAAGTAAGACAAGAGGAAGTGGAGTCCCTTTAGGCACAGGGCTAATAAGACCATGAAAATCATTGACAAACTGCACATCAAAAACCCCCATTTTTAACTAATCAGAAATCAAAACCAGTTTTCAAATCCAAATTATAAGATGAAGAAGACATTGACAATGACCTTGAAAAGACGAAACACTTTTCTAGCCAAGCTAGTGTTTTTGTCAACGGTTTGAGCAGTACCGGGCTGCCCACCGCTCACGAACTTGGAACCATACTGTATAGCTCTGCATATCTTATCTCTAGCCTCAGCTTTGTTCAAGTACAGAACTACAAGAGCTAGCTCGGCTCTGGTCAAATCTAACGTTGTCATCTTCTCTCTACCCAAAAAAAAAACAAAACAAAACACACAAGAGCCTAAAACTCAGAAACAGATTCAAAGATTCAATCTTTTTGATTCAAGGGTCACGTTTGATAAGATTAGAAAGTTACCTTAATGATCTCTATATCGAACCTGGAGATTATACAAAATGAGAGCAATTCACAAAGACTAAAGATAGAAAGTTATCAAAAAGAAGGGATCCAGTGCCTTAATATATGGAAGATCGTGAGCTGTTCTTAGTTATAACGTCATATATTATCTTCTTCCTTTGTTTACGTCATCTTTGAGATTAAAAAGACAGCTTTATGTATTGATCAAAAGCGTGTTTGGTCTTCTTTCTATTTATAAAAAAAGAACGATACTAATCTCTTGATCGCTTTACTTTTAACCGTTCTTCGATTAAAAATTTGTGGGATCCACAACGTGTTAAACATTCCGTGTACTTTATCGTATCCTATCAGATATATGACAAACAAGTTTTAGATATAGGCGCGTGTGGCATACGTGGCACGCATATCAATGAAGTTAACCCAGGTCAGTTTCCACCAGATTAAATGGGCCGGGCCTTTACGATGGCCTTACTTACTATTACTAAGACTTGATGAAGAACACATATTTTTAATTTACACTAAAATATTATTATTTTGGACTATGTTTTATGTTATTTTCTTTTCGAATTTTTATTATATCTTTGGATTAAATCGAATATCTAATTGAAAATACCGGCATAATAACGGAGAAAATAAAAAAAGGTATTGATCTGGATAAAGTGGATAGGAATAAGCGAATTTTTTTATCGTATCACGCAAGGCACTGGTGTCGAGGAAATTAAATGGGCTGGGTTAGTCTTCGATAACTTAAATGGGTCAGGCCTTTTAAGAAACCTTATTACATTCCAAGGCAGGATGAAGATAGACTTGTGTCCAAACAGTATTCGAATAAACTTTGTCGGAAAATAACGGCCACATGAAGTATATCAAAGCCGGAGAAAAAAAAATGGCGGTGGTGGCTTCTCTTAGTGTTTGCTTCTCTGCTCGGCCAAATCTTCATCTCTGCAGATTCTCTCAACCCAAAATTGTTGCTAGTAAGTTGTCTTTAGCATATGTTGTGTGTTGTTTTGATTCAGACAAGTAATATTCTCTGCTTGATGGGTTTTTGTAAAGTTTTGATAACCGATCAAATAACAATGTTCTTGTTTAAATATCACTTGTTGGTAGTGGCTGCAATGAGTGAGGATCCAATTCGAGAATGGATACTTACAGAAGGAAAAGCAAGTAAAATCACAAAGATTACTTCTGTTGGTGGTGGCTGCATCAATCTTGCTACCCATTATCAAACTGATGCTGCTTCTTTCTTCGTTAAAACAAACAGGTAACTTTAAAAAAAAAAAATCTTTCTTAGGTATATATACAATCAGACGTTTAATGCAACAATGGTTTAGGAGTATTGGACCGGAGATGTTTGAAGGAGAAGCTCTTGGTCTTGAAGCTATGTATGATACCAGTACCATCCGTGTCCCCAAGCCACATAAAGCAAGTGAAAAAAAACTTATTTCCTATACTTTAGTGTGGAGGTATATTGATCTTTACTGGTAACATAGATTCTTGTGTTGAACAGGTTGGGGCATTGCCAACAGGTGGATCTTATATCATCATGGAGTTTATAGAGTTTGGATCAAGAGGCAGCCAGGTGACAATTGATGGAATACTAACTATGAGCCACTGGTTAACAACTTCAGTTTCATGGGTTCATGATTCTCTTTAGTCATCAGGCTGAGCTAGGAAGGAAGCTAGCTGAGATGCATAAGGCAGGGAAGTCCTCAAAAGGGTTTGGTTTTGAGGTTGAAAACACTATTGGCAGGTGCAATAAATAACTTATTTTCCATTTGAGTGAGTTTGAGTTTATACTGTCACAAACTTAGTGTGCTTGGCCATGTTTTAGTACCCCACAGATAAACACTTGGTCATCGGATTGGATTGAGTTTTATGGTGAGAAGAGATTAGGTTACCAGCTAAAGTTAGCTAGGGATCGATACGGTGACTCTGCAATATACGAGAAAGGTTTTGTCTCTCTCTCTCTTCTCTGTTGTGAGAAGAGATCAGTTTAGTAATATTTTGAAGGAATGTTTGAACAGGTCATACACTGATACAGAACATGGCATCTCTCTTTGAGAATGTTGTCATAGAACCTTGCTTGTTACATGGTGATCTCTGGAGCGGGAACATAGCATACGACAAGGACAGCGAACCTGTCATTCTTGATCCTGCCTGTTACTGTATAATCTTTCTTTCATATCTTATGGATACTATCTACCATTTTTCATTCACGTTTTGATCTCATTTCCTCCTCCGTAGATGGGCATAACGAGGCGGAGTTTGGGATGTCGTGGTGCGCAGGGTTTGGAGAATCTTTCTACAATGCCTATTTCAAGGTTCCACACACACACACACATAACTTAAACCACTTTGATAATGGCTCTTTGTTTATACTTACAAAGTGTTGTTTTGTTTGTTTTTGACTTGCTCAAGGTAATGCCAAAAGAAGAAGGATTTGAGACGAGGAGGGATCTATATTTGCTCTATCACTACTTGAATCATTATAACCTCTTTGGATCAGGCTATCGATCCTCTGCATTGTCGATCATTGATGGTTATCTACGGATGCTCAAAGCTTAAAATGTAAGAGCTTATGAGGGAATAATCTGTATCTGGACTCTCTTTTGTATTCATTAAATTTACAAAAGCCCTAGCACTTTGATAAATTCTCAACGTTAATGGAGCTTCTTGTTTATAATCAAAAGGTTGAGAAAATGATGTGGACAATGTAAAATTGAGGTCACAGAAGAAAATGACGTCACATTGTGAAGTATATTATAATCTTAGTGGCAGTTTCAGTAACAACAAAGTTGATATGGCCGAGTTGGTCTAAGGCGCCAGATTAAGGTTCTGGTCCGAAAGGGCGTGGGTTCAAATCCCACTGTCAACAGTCATTTTTTTTATAAATCACATCGTTTAGCAAATTGATTCAAATATGAACTTGTAATTCAACTCTACTTGTGAAGGGAAGGGATTTACAAGACTGATTAACACACAGTCAATAAGTGTTTCTATCCAGTAATTCAGTAGTTGAGCTTCTTCACAACTCTAGATAAAACCTCAAGATTTTCTAAGAAAACTATATTCGACATGTCTGTAAGTTATGTTCTTTAAGATAATTAGTTTGCTTGTGATCAAAGTGCAATTTCCAAGCAAAGAACCTTTAAAATAGTGATAAACTTAAAATCCAAACAAACACAAAGGTTTCTTCTAAACTCTAACTGAGTTGCTTTTAAAAACAGATAAAACAAGACTCATAACATCATAGAACAAAAAAAAAAAAAGAAACTGGCTTCGACTGATTTTGATGATTGCTTCAAGCCTCAAAAAAATCAATCTATCACTTTTTCCTGAAAGAGCATCCTTCCGTGAGTCTTGCCTTTCCTCCCGTAGGCTGGCACAACACTGTCTGGCAGTTTCCACACACCACAACAGTCTGCGAGTGGCTGAAAACGGTAGTGCTGCAAATACCAATAGAGAGGAGATCATATCAGTTTATTGCGTCTCTTCATTGATGTAATGTCAAAAAGAGAAAAAGACAGAGATCTTACATGTTAAAGCAGCCTTGGCATTTCACATCCTACAATTAAAGATTTAACACCAACAACAAGAAACATAATCAGACCAGGTTTCTAATTATTCCCCACATGATCAATGGTTGACCAGAAATGTACAATCTAAAACATAGTTATTTTTTTTGTTTCTCAAATAAGTTACCATGAAGAATGAGTTTGGAGTTTGAACAAGACGCTTGAGCTTGTGCTTCCTCTTCTCAAGCTCTGCTGGTGGGTTAAGCAGATCGATGTCGTTTTGAAGAACCTGTTTCATGTCAAAGACAATTATTACACTCCATTTACCAAAAACAAAGACTAACTTAAAGCTTCCATCAATCAATTAAAACTTAAAATCAGCTCAAGTCCCGCTAACGAACACGTGGTTAAAATCTGAGAATCATGTTTTCGGATATTTTTAAGCTATTGGAAGAAGAGAGAGAAAAAAAATAAGAATATGCACAACGAAGGTTCATAAGACTCGAGATTTCACAAAGAGATTCATGTAACGAAACACACTCAGGAAATGGAACGGAGAGATCAAGGAAAGTGGGAAGTACTAACCATTTTCGCAAGTTTCTCAAGACTCGGCAAAGAGAGCAGCGACGGCAGCAATAAGCGAGAGGGGTTCTCTAGGGTTACCACATCATCCCTTTATATACCACAACAATCTGACCTTACTACTTTCCTGGACCTTCTAAAAGAACTGGAGGGTTTCATTCTCTTTAAATTTAACTAGTCTTTAGTGCGGGTATTTTTTATTTTTTTATTTTGGGAAAATTCCTTAAAAATACACCAACTCAGTTTCTTTTGCTAAAAAAATACACCAACTTTTTAGACTTCCCGAAAAATACACAGAGTAATTTTGGTTGTCCACAAAATACATGAACTTTTGAATTTTGAAGGTTTCACACCTCGATTTTAACGGCGTTAATTCTGATTAACATAACATTTAGACGCCGTTAGACGACGTTAACTCTGATTCAAAAATTCATGTATTTTGTGGACAACCAAAGTTAGTCTGTGTATTTTTCGGGAAACCAAAAAAGTTTGTGTATTTTTTCAGCAAAGAAAAGTTAGTATATGTATTTTTAAGGAATTTTCAAAAATATACTAAGGTGGCAAAGACATTTTTTTTTTGTTTGACTGAAAAATATAATTTTTGAATATATTTTGTTCATATTGAGACCGGTTTTTCTATGATCGGTTCGGATCTATAATTAAATACGTGTAAAATACCGGTAATTTTTGGATATGTATCATGTAATAGAGAATGTGTTTTTGTTTGGGTCTTTGGGTCGGGTTTGGGCCGGTTCTTTTTGGATCTAAGATATCCGGATCTAAGAACCGGCCCAAACCCGACCCAAAGACCTGAAAAAAACACATTCTCTTCCACATGATACAGATCCAAAAACTACTGATATTTTCCACGCATTTTAATTATAGATCCGAACTGATCCTAGAAAAACCGGCCTCAATATGAACAAAATATAAAGAAGCCAAAAAAACACATTGTTCATATTAATACTCACGTATTTTAATATATTTTGAACAATGTGTTTTTTGGCTTCTTTATATTTTGTTCATATTGAAACCGGTTTTTCTAGGATCAGTTCGGATCTATAATTAAAATACATGGAAAATATTGGTAATTTTTGGATATGTATCATGTGGAAGAGAATGTGTTTTTGTTCAGGTCTCTGGATCGGGTTTGGGCCGGTTCTTAGATCCGTATACTTAGATTCGAAAAGAACCGGCCCAAACTCGACCCAAAGACCCAAACAAAAACACATTCTCTATTACATGATACATATCCAAAAATTACCGGTATTTTACACATATTTTAATTATAGATCCGAACCGACCCTAGAAAAACCGGCCTCAATATGAACAAAATATATTCAAAAATTACATTTTTCAGTCAAACAGAAAAAACAATGTCTTTGCCACCTTAGTATATTTTTGAAATTTCCTTAAAAATACATATACTAAATTTTCTTTGCTGAAAAAATACACAAACTTTTTTGGTTTCCCGAAAAATACACAGACTAACTTTGGTTGTCCACAAAATACATGAATTTTTGAATCAGAGTTAACGTCGTCTAACGGCGTCTAAATGTTATGTTAATCAGAATTAACGCCGTTAAAATCGAGGTGTGAAACCTTCAAAATTCAAAAGTTCATGTATTTTGTGGACAACCAAAATTACTCTGTGTATTTTTCGGGAAGTCTAAAAAGTTGGTGTATTTTTTTAGCAAAAGAAACTGAGTTGGTGTATTTTTAAGGAATTTTCTCTTGTAATATAAACAGACTCATGTAGACTTTGTAAACTAAACTGATAGTTTTGGATTTATGCGGATATGCTTTATCAATATAAAATACTCCATCCGTTTCACTTTATTTGTCATTCTAGGTTTTTACACATATATTAAGGAAATATTTAATTTTACATATTTCCAAGATAAAAACACAATTACATATACACCTAACCACTTTTCAACCAATAGAAAAATAGAATATTATATAAAACTAATAAATTTTGCCTCGAAACTTTAAAACGACACTTAATTTGTGACAAAAAAATAAGTTTAGAATGACATATATTTTGAAACGGAGGGAGTATCTTTTTCACATAATATTTTTATATATTTTATCGATATAGAATATTAGATGTTATGATATTAACATGTTTTAACAATTTTTTATAAAAAAAAAATCTAATTCTAGATAGAAAGTTTAGCATATGTTAACAAATTTATTCTTTTATATAAACATTTACAAAATTTACACATGTTAATTTAACACATGTTAATTTTTTTATTTTTTGTATATAAAATTACAAAATTTATGAATATTAAACCGTCTAAACAGTGCATGATATTTATTTAGAAAGCACTTTTTAAAAATAAAACAGGATAATATATAAAATTAATATAATTATGTCATATTTAATTTATATAGTAATTCTATTAATTATATTATAGGCTAAAGTTATAAAATAGCATATATATTTGTTTTCTTTATATGAAAGTTTAATTAAAATTAATTTATAATACTATTAATCTATTAATTACGAAATTAATCAATGAAATATTTTACAAAACATATTTAAAAACTTTAGTAAGATTTTGTTAATTAGTTAAGAACGAATTTATGGTTGTTAGAAATTGGAAATACTTGTGATTGGTTGTTATTGTATTATTGTTTAAGAAGTTTCAGTATATTTTGTGTGGTTTGAGTATCTTGATCGATGTTTGTAATTCCTGTCTTTTTATTGTTAAGATTTAGAAGCCAAATCTGTTTGTATCTTGATATATTTAATAGATTACTAGATTTTGACCCGCCCTTAAAGAGGGTGGGTCAACCGTTTTTGCTTTAAATTTATGCCCTTATTCGATTATTCACAAGTATGTATAGGCATGAGTATCCGGGTTCAGATCGATTGTCATTAATAATTTGGTTTGGTCCGACATATATAGATTAAATAAAATTACGTATAATTTAATGTGTGGTGTAGGATTTATTTTTTTTGTTCGTTTTAGTTAAAATAACAAATTATAGGGACCCAATAAATTATGAGTTCTATTCGGTAATCTAAAGTATTGATTTGTAAAAACTGAAATAAGATAATTAATTTCTAATAATTTCATATTGGTTAAAATTGATTTTTTTAAATAAAAATTATTTTTAGATATATTTTACCAATTCGTTTTTGAATCATTCCTAGACAGAGGCCCGTTTCTTGTTGATAAAATTATTAACTCGTTTGTTAGATGACAATAGAAATAAAAAAATGTATTTGTGAGATCCATTTGTACTCAAGAAATATTTAACATATTTAATGAAACAATCTGTAAATATTAATTGTAAACTTTTTACTTCATTAATTGCAAATTAATTTTGTAAAATCAACTTTATTTTAAAATTTAAAATATTTCTTTAAAAATAATTAAAATTTATTTAAAATTATAGTTTTTAAGCGCATATATTTAGTAAATTTATGTCATATTGGTTTTAAAATGCAATATTTGTAGTTATTTATTTAAACTTAAAAATTAACATTTATTTGGTCATTTTAAATCATAATTGCATCATGTGTAAATATTTTAAAATATTGAAAAATATTTTTTCACATAGTTTTAATTGTAATTTAAGTGCAGATGTTAAAAATATATTGGATATTTTTAATTTTGAAAAATAGATAAAACAATTATAGAACAAACAAATCAATCCTAAAATTAAGGAGGGGTTAAAATATTAGATTTTATTGTTATTTAAAAAAGCTTAAAATTAATATTGTTGGATTAAATAGATTTTGTTAGGATTAAATAGATTTTGTAATGAATTAAATAAAAATCATAGGTTTTAAATATTCTAGTGGCATATCTGTAAATATTGTAGACTTTGACCCGCTCTTTGAAAGCGCGGGATTTCGTTTTTGTTAATAAACTATTAATCCGTTTGTTAGTTTATAATAAAAATGACAAATATATTAGTTTAACCTGTTTATACTTGATAAATATTTTGTAACCTGAAGCAAATAACTATATTAAAGAAATTTTAGCTTATTCCCATATATATATATATCAAAATGAATTTTTGACCCGTATACAATGCAGAATGATAATGATAATTGTAGTTATATATGGTATGTAAAAAATAATGATTTGGAATGTATAAATAAAATAATATCTTTTTTCTATTTAATTTTATTTCAAATTAAAAGACACTATTCATTTAAATCAATATGAATTGTTACAATTTTGAAATACCCGAATAATCCGAACAATATTCATTTTATTAGATTTTTAGTTTTACATCACCAAGCATGATATTTTTTTAAATAAATATTATAAAATCCATATGTCTACCTAGTAAGACTTCTTAATGGTTGATAAAAATGATACTTCTCTTTTAATAGAGAAGATATAGACTATAATTATAAATTTATTAAAAATATCAATCTATTTTATTTTTAGGTTATAATAAAATTTAATTAATATAATTTAAACTAATAATATGTTACTTAATTATGAACTAATTAATGCATTATTTAATAAAAAAAATATTTAAAAAGTTTAGTAGGATTTTGTTAGATTTTTCTCAACAGATTTCTTTATAACTAAAAATATAATTAAAATTAATAATTAAAATTAATAATCAAAATTGATTTATTATTAATATTTTATTGATTATTATGTTATATTATGCAATTAATGAAATGGACCTAGTAAGACTTCTTAATGGTAGATAAAAATGNTAAAAATGGTACTTCTCTTTTTGATTATACATATATACTTTCACATTATTGTTAGCGAAAAAGATGCAATTATAAATGTCCAAAATATTATTTTTTCCAGATCATAATTGAGATCAAAATACATACCTAAAGCTGAAATAAAATAAAGAAATTATAGCTTATGAAAAAAAATTATAGTTAGCTATAATAAACCTCGATGCAAAAAGATAAGAAACATCAAAACTCCGATGAAAACTGCACCTACTTTCGGCCATATCTGTTCCTTGGTTTGATCCAGATAAACATGTGAGATCACAAAGCACAAATT